CATTTGTGGTACTTAGTTAATATTATATATCCCACAGTGTGAAATAAATGAAACAATTTGGGGAAATGATGTTTTATGTTAACTTGCTTTCCCTTTAAAGATAATGAGTCTAATTATTTCTTGCCTAAAAAAAATGGTTAAGAGGTAAGCTGGCAGTCAACAGCCAAGAGCTAAATGATGGTAAGAACTTTCATTTTCAAAACAAGATTAGTAAGTCTTTAAATGGGTTTTCCTTTCAATATGTCAACAAATATTTATCAGTCTGCCATACACCCTCGAAGCTCAGTTGGTAAAGAATCTGCCTGCAATGCAGGAGACCCGTTTGATTCTTGGGTTGGGAATATCCCCTGGAGAAGGAAAAGGCGACCCATTCCAGTATTCGTGCCTGGAGAATCCCAGAGACAGAGGAACCTAGCAGGCTACAGTCCTTGGGGTCGAAAGAATTGGGCACTGCTTAGCAACTAAACCACTACCACCATACGCCAAGGGTTGGATTAGAGCTGGGGTACATTGATGAATAAAAAGATAAAGATAAAGACCCAACAAATAAAAACCCAACAAAGAGGGAATTAAGGCAGAGGAGCAGGAGAGACATTAGTTTTTTATATTCATTAAGAACTATTTGAAACAGAATAGTCAAGAATGACACCTCTGAGGCTGACTATGGAATATAAACTGAAACTGAAACAAATATAGTACATGAAGTGATTAAAGACAAGGGAGATATGTGTGGTGTGTGTGTGCTGGGTGGTAGGGGCGGGATGGAGAATGAGCCTGGAGAAGAAAGCTGGAAGTCACTGATGGGTTTTAAGGAGGGAAGGGACACTGCATAGGGTCGGAAGGGGAAGCAAGGAAATGAGTTAATAGAGTGTATTTACAGAGTGTTGGCAAAATGCAGAAGGCTTACACAGGTTGGTAGTAGATCGGGTGATAGCACATAGATTTAAAGCTATATTTTAAAGTGGAGGCAGCAGGACCTAAAAATAACTCGACAGGAGGGCAGAGTTGAGAAAAAGATGAGATTATCCAGGGCTCCTAGTCTTCTGGCTTAGGATCATTTCCTTCAGTTTATTCCCCTCAAAGCATTTACCACAATTAAAGCTTCTTAAGCCATTATCTTTTTGATTTGTTTACTTTCTTACTGAGTCCAGGAAGAATAACGCTGTCCAGGTGAAAAGTAATGCATTATCCAGCAATCCCACTCCAGGGCATATACCATAAAGAGATATATGCACTCCAATGCTTAGAGCAGCACTGTTTACAATAATCAAGACAAGGAAGCACCTCAGTGTCCCCTGATCAATGAATGGATAAAGAAGGTGCAGTACATGTATACAATGGAATATAACTCAGCCATAAAAAGAATGAAATAATGCCATCTGCAGCAACATGGATGGACCTAGAGATTATCATACTGAGTGAAGTGAGCCAGAGAGAGAAAGACAAATATCATGTGATGTTGCTTATATGTTAAAAAGATACAAAGGAACTTGTATACAAAACAGAAAGAAGCAGGCCCACAGACAGAAAAAAAAAAAAAATTATGGTTATCAACGGGAAAAGGGAGAAGAGGGATAAATTAGGAGTTTGGGATTAACATATATACATTATTGTATGTATAAATTTGGAGAAGGAAATGGCAACCCACTCCAGTACTCTTGCCTGGAAATTCCATGGACAGAGGAGCCTGATGGGTTCCAGTCCATGGGGTGGCAAAGAGTCGGACATGACTTGGCAACAACAGCATATATGTAAAATAGATAACCAGCAAGGGCCAACTGGGAAACAGGGAACTGCAGTCAATATTTTGTAATAACCTGTAAGGGAAAAGAATCCCAAAAAGAATATATTTATATATAAAGCATATACATACATATCACTGAATCACTTTTCTGTACAACTGAAAATAACAGTATTGTAAATCAACTATACTTCAATTTTTAAAAAATCAAAAAAAAAGTAATGCAAAGCACATAGGTAATTTTAAAATTTTAATTTGCTAATAGTCACATTAAAAAGATGTGAAATTATATATATTTAATTTAAATTATATATATGTATATATATATGTCCATGCGCCATGCAGGATCTTAATTCCCCAACCTCGGATTGAACCCATGTCCCCTGTGATGGAAGCACTGAGTCTTAACCACTATATATTTTCCTGATATATTTTACTTAATCCTATAAACCCAAAATATTATTTCAATAAGCAAACAAAATCAGAAATAATGAGAGATTTTATTATTCTTTTTATATTGAGTCTTCAAACTATGGTGTGTCTTTTACACTAACAACACATCTCAAGTTAGACTAGCCACAGTTCAAGTCCTTAATATTCGCCTGTGGCTAGTGGCTCTGTACTGGACGGACACTGCCAATCTGCACTAGGAGGCACGGAAGGCAGAAATGTTCAGTCTAATTCACTGTTTCTCTGTGCCAAACATTCAGTGGCACATAGAGAGTATTTGATATATCGCAAATGAATGAACAAATGCTTGGTGATGGGGGGTTTATTGGAGGCCATAGTTTCGGGGATGGGTTCAAAGCTTCCATCGTGGATTCATCTTGGTCCAGACAAGTTGGTCGGAGGTATCTAAGAGAACTCACAATGGAGATGTCAAGAAAGGAAGTGGATGGGACTCGGTGGTAAAAGAACGAGAAAGAGAGAGAGGCAGGAAGGAAGAAAGAAAGAGGAGATGAGAATCTGGGACTGAGAGAAACCTGAGTGAAGATGTAATTTTGGTATTTGATGGTTTCTAAATCCAAGGGAATCATTTCTGGATTACCTGAGGAAAGAGTACAGAGCAAAGAGGAAGCCTAGGACCCTATCCCCAGAGATAGCAACATTTAAATGTTGAGAATGTTGAGCAAGAGAAGAAAATCAGGAATGTGTGGTCGTGTCAAGAAATCAAAAAATGAAGAGTTTCAAGAAGAAAGGAGTAGCCAACCCTGCTGAAAGTTCTGGTTAAAAAAAAAAGAAAAACAGAAAATAAAAAACGAAGAATACAAGAGCATTGAGACCTTAACAATTAATCCCAACACACATTTCACAATCATGATCTCTTTTTAGCCCTCCTTGTAATGTTTTTTGTTAAAGAATGATTGAGGGTTTTTTCCTTTAATACAAAATTTGAACATTTTAAAGAAATTTGGTCTCCAAGAGGTCAAGAAACCCAGCTAGTTTATGCAAGAACTAGTTCAAGAACCCAAGACCCTAGGGACTTCCCTGGCGGTCCAGTGGTTAAGACTCCAAGCTTCCACTGCAGGGTGCATGCGTTTAATCCCTGGTTGGGGAACTAAGACCCCCACATTACAACAGGGCAGCCAAAATAAATAATAAAAAAGAACTCAAGACCAGGATTGTTTATTTAAAGAACATACACTAAAGCACTGGAAATAACTGGAGGTTTATGGAGGGAGCATGCCTGTATGTGGCTTCACCAGCTGGTTTAAGAGTAGATGTACACATGGCAATATCTGTCAAGAGTGGAACAAGACCAAGATGACATGACTGGGATTTCTTGCAAGTTTCCTAAGTGTCTTCTCCCCTTCATTGATAACACCTAGCATTCTTAACACGTTTTTCCGCATAGAACTCCGTTTCTCAACCTATCTTAGGCAATGAAATAACTCTACTAATCCTGCAGGACATTAATATTAATAACTTTATTCAAGAGAAAGGTCGGTTACAAACATTTATCAAGCATGTTCTTACTGGTAAAATACGCTTTCTCTGCTGTCTTTCGAAACACAAAGAATGAAATGATCTCATCTAAACTCTATGGCTAAGCAGTTGTGTGACCTTGAATAATAAGACTTTACCTTTCCTGTACCTAGGTGTCCTTATCTACAAAACACAGGGGATAAATCAGATGATCTCTACTTCTTCAAATAGTTTATGGTTTAATGTTATAGTTAATTAGGTTTCCTTCTGTCCACATATTTAACTTTAAATTTGATCAGTGAGAGAAGAGAATCCTAAAGGAAGTCAAGAAACCTAGGAATGAATTCAGGTTCACCATCAGGTAGACCTGTAATAACTGTTCCCATATGTTAAATAAGGTGGTAACTCTCAGGCTTACCTCAGGGTTGTTACAATAACTGAACCCGATAAATCAAGTGAATGTTTTATAATCTGTACCATTTCAGAGAAACTACAAGTGCAATTATCTCTAAAGCAGGTGTTTGAAACAGGGGTATAGTTTATCCCTCCCAACAAATAACAGTCTGAGTTCCTGTGATTTTATCCTTTGGGCGGGTGACTTGTTACTCTTGTTAAGCAGATTTTGGTATTGGAACTTGCTCAAAAGGAGAATGGAGACAAAAGTCCTGTTATCTCCAGAGAGTGCCTATCTTTGAATGCGTACAAATAAAGGGAGAAAGGAAAGAAGAAGGGAGGGAAGAAAGAGAAGAAAGAAAAAAAAAAAGAGAGGAGGTCTTCCCTGGTGGTCCAGTGGCTAAGACTCCCTGCTCTCAATGCAACCGGCCCAGATCGTGCATGCCACAACTAAGACCCAGTGCAGCCAAATAAATAAATAAATATTTTAAAAAGAGAGTGGGAAGGAGGGAATTCATGGGCAGAGGAGGAGGAAAGGCCATGGCAAGGCAAACTTAGAAAAATAAAAGGCGAGTCAGAAGTAACAAGAGTGGGAAGGGGAAGCGGGCAGCAGGGCAGGAAGGGAGCGAGGTAGCCCGGGGCAAGAGCGGGGGCGGGTGGGGGTGGCGACTGAGTGGCGAGCCCAGGCTCTCGCCAGGCGGGCACCCGGCGGCGGAGGGGAGGAGGAGGGTGGGGCTTGGCGAAGGGCAAAGGCGGGGCAAGGCTTAAAAGGGAGATGACCCTACTGGCTGACACCGACCGCGACCTCCGACTCCCGGGGCCAGGGGACCCAACGCGGGGAAACCGGGAAGGGCCGCCGCGGGGGCAGCCCGCGGGCTCCGGACGCGGGCGCAGGGGCTAGAGAGGGGAGACCCCTGGGGGCGCCCGGCACCCCGCCACCATGTGCGAACTGTACAGCAAGCAAGAGACCCTGGCTCTGAGGAGAAGGCACATCGGGTAAGGGCTCCCCAGCCCAGACGGGAGGCGCAGAGAGTGGGAATCGCCAGGTCACCAGCGCAGGCAGCCGGCTAGCTGGGGTCCCGCGGGGAGCGGGACCTGCCCCTGGCCCGCCGCACCTGCGCGCACGCGCCGCCGCGCGCCCCGAGCGCCCCGCCGCGCCCGCGCCCGCGCCCGAGGGGGCTCCCTTGCAGCCGGGTCCTGGGTGATCCCCGCGCTCTGGAGCCCGCGGAGAGGACGAGGGCTTCGGGCCGGCTGGGGGCATTGACCGTGGGGGTTGGTAGCCAGTGAAGAACACAGTTCCAGGGATGGGCTCTGGAAGGGAGAAGGGTAGTTCTCCGCCACTCCCACCTACTCGAAAGTTTTCCATTAACTGTGAACTCTGAAATATTTTTGACGATGACTATGAAAACTCATTCTGACAACTTTTGTTGAAAGCGAACTCTTCCTTCTTGCACGCTTGGTTAAGAAGTAAAAGGTTAATCTAGCCAGTGGAGTCGGGGGGGGGGGGGCGGGAATCGTACACACTTTTTTAAAAGGTAAGATGCCCTTACTCACCTTGGTCTCCCCAGATGTGCCCGCACTACAACGTAAAGATGCAGGGTTCTCTCGGGTCTATTTTCGTTTTGCTCACATCAATAGTATGAACAACTTGGTGAGTGAGTGTACAGGACCCATACTGAAGTCAGACCTGGGCTCTGGTCCTAGTAGAGTGTCAAGTTACCTTGTGATCTCTGTCACATTAAATTCCTCTTCTATGAAAATCTGAGTGGCAAGGTGGGAAGTACATTATTAACAAAGAGGCAAGGTCAAGTCCACAGTTTTCAGCCCACATTCATAAGGAAGATTTTTTCTGGATTTTAACTTGTAGTTAATAAACTAACAACTGAATTTGAACCAAAAAGAAATTCTCATTATTAGTTTCATTTTAGCTGATGACACTTAATTTTAGGCATTTTTAACATTTCATTACTTATTCACAATAATTACAGTACTTTCTAAACTATTGTGTATCAATATAATATGTAACTGTTTTCCCTCTAAACTACCTCCAATGCACCTGGGAACATGTTTTCTGTGTACGCAAAGCCACCAAAATAAAACTATATTTTGGGAGCTTTTCTGGTGGTCCAGTAATTAGGACTCCTTGCTTCAAATGCAGGGAGCTTGGGTTCAATCCCTGGTTGGGGAACTAGGATCGCACATTTCCTCATGGCGTGTCAAAAATAAAATAAATAAATAAATGTAAATAATAATAATATATTTTGTTTAGTTTCTAAACATACATGGATCCAAGATCAGAAATGTTTGTAATGTTTTCATGTTGCTAAAACTTGTGCTCCAGACAGCCATCCAAGTAACCATAAATAGGGATGACATTTTATTAGACTCGAAAGAGTGGGTTTAAGAGTTAGAATAATAATTGGATCATACTGTTAAAGAATGGAAAATCCATTTGCTGTAGAACAGGAACCAGTTAAAAGACATGAAAATGATCTGTAAAATCTCTTGCACACTATTTAACAAGTAGCTTTACAAGTAGGTTTGAGGGAGAGATTACATGACAAGCAAGCTCTATGTTGGGCAATGGCATAAGACAGTCTTCTTTTTTTTCTTCCAATTTTATTGGTATGTAATTGACATACAGCACTGTATTAAGTTTGAGTTTTGCAGCATAACTATTTGACTTACATCATGAAATGACTATCACAGTTAAGTTTGGTGAACATCCATCATTCCATTAATACACAATTTAAGAAATAGAAGATCCCCTAGGATTTGCTTTCTTAACAACTTTCATATAAAACATACAGCAGTGTTATAATTAATCATGTTAAAAGGTAAGATGCCCTTATCATGTTGTACATATAAATTATATCCATATTTACCTTATAACTGGGAGTTTGCACCTTTTGACTATATTCATCTGATTTCCCTGCCTCCCAGCTCTTCCCAAGAAGTGTAACCTCTTTTTTTCTATGAGTTTATTTTTGAAGTATAATTCACCTACAACACTATGTTAATTCCTACTATGCAACATAATGATTCAATATTTCCAAGCATTTCAAAATGGTCACCGTGGTAAATCTAGTTACAATCAAGACAAAAATCTACTTTCAAATTCTGGTTTTCTCTTTTATTGGCTTGAACCAAGCTTCTTAATTTTTCTGTGCCTGTTTTCTCACCTATAAAAGTGAGAATGATAATAACTCCTATTATATTGTTGGAAGGATTAAATGAGATAATATTTGTAGTAGCTATCAGTTTTTAATATATAGGAAGACTCAAAAAATTGATTTTTTTTCCCTAGTTGAACAAAATTTCCTAAAGGAAAATTAGTTATTGGTTTGTGTAATTAGAGCTGTCAGAGTTGATCCATGTACCTGTAAGTAGCATTGTCAGATCGTGGCAAATTTAATATAACAAGCATAAGAAATGTGAGCAGTGTCACGGATGGAGGATCAAGGTCAAAGTTTCCAGGCTAATATGAAATGAAGAAAAACAGTATGTCACCTAGATTGTGTTTTCCCTTTCTTTTATGTAATTGTAATTTTCCACTCATCGTGACCTTGATTGAGAAGGGCAAATGCTGAGCAGTCCTACCAGACCAAAGTGTTTCCTTTCCTTACTTCTAGGCCTTCATGCAAAGTTTTCTTTGCTGCGGATCCCATCAAAATAGTGCGAGCGCAGCGTCAGTACATGTTTGACGAGAAAGGCGACCAGTACTTGGATTGCATCAACAACGTTGCCCATGGTAATGTGTTGTCTTCGTTGTGCCTTGAAGGATACGTTTATGGATTAAGGCAGCCTTGGCACCATTAATATTTGCCCCAGGATTTGCAGTGGCTGCAGTTCCTCGGCTGAACAGGGCCCTTAGTCCTAGGCTGGGAAAAGCTAGAACAAAATGTGGGAGAGGAACAGGATCAACTTTTCTTTTTTTTTTTTGATTCAGAATCTGCCTCACTTCCCAGGCATTTCGAATTGTAACTCATTTTGAGGACTTTTGTCTCCTAAATTTTAGTGGGACACTGCCACCCAGAAGTGGTCAAAGCTGCCCAGAAACAGATGGAACTACTAAATACAAATTCTCGATTCCTCCACGACAACATTGTTGAATATGCCAAACGCCTCTCAGCAACCCTGCCGGACAGACTCTCTGTTTGCTATTTTACAAATTCAGGGTAGGTGTCAAGGTTTTTCCAGCTATCCGAATTCCCATGAATCTCTTTGTTTCCTCTCTCACTCGTCTTTTCTTTTTTTATTGCTGGTGGAGTAGGAATATGTAAACAGGCTTCCTGAGACTCTTACTAATGACCTTGCGTGGGGGACCTGACCTCCTGGTTCTTTCACTTGGGCCCACCAGCTCCTTGTAGATAAGATACCTGACATTGTGTTCCAAGGCTCTTGATGCAGCCTGTAATCGCAGTCTCATGATGAACATGTGCGTGTCACTTGAGACTTTTCACTACCATGCTACTTTGGGGAAAGATGGGAAAGCTGCACCAGTAGGGATCCCTGAACATTTCCCCAGCACAAACACAAAGGAGGAAGGGATAAATTCAAGTGAAAAGATATGTTACAACTTTTAAATTCCATAAATTCAAATGGTTATGTCCCATTCTATTGAAAATTATGCAGACATTAAAAAGTTTTGGGGGGAACTCCCTGGCAGCCCGGTGGTTAGGACTTCAAGCTTCCACTTCAGAGAGCCTGGGTTTGATTCCTGGTCAGGGAACTAAGATCCCACAAGCTGGGAAGTGCAGCAAAAAAAAAAAAAAGTATGTTTTTGAAAGTAAGTACATGTTTAAAGACAGGTGAAAAGCTCGCCTATTGGGAGGAAAGCTGTCTATACAGCACAAACTCTTATTTTAAAATGATATACACGTACATATATACTAGAACTATAAGAAGGTCTGTGATTCCTTTTCTTCTTTTTGGCCGTGCCTGAGGCTTGCAGAATCTTAGTTCCCCACCAGGGACTGAACCCAGCCCCCTGCAGTAGAAACTCGGAGCCCTAACCACTGGACAGCCAGGGGAGTTCCACACTTCTTTTTTCAATGAGGTATTTTAAAACCCCATTTATAACCAGAAATTTGTTCTTTTTTTTTCTTTGTAAAGAATTAAGACATTTTAGGATCTAATTTGTTGTCTTAAAGCATTCTTGCCTACAGCGAATTAAATGGCACAGTATTCGACTTTCCCTTCCAAAGAATCCTATGCTGTCAAAGAATGATTAGTCTTAAAGAGCAGTGTCACCAAAGACTGGACGTGACAGAGCCTGGAATAGCATTAATACAAAGAATAATCTTGAAGTTAAACAGGCTTCAGTCAACACTGGCTCTACCTCTTCTTAGCTGTGAGAACTTATTCTTGTTACTTAACCTCTCTGAGGCTTCATCCATAAAAAGATGACAATACTTGCCTTGAAGAGTAGTTATGAGAATCAGTATAAGTAAAACAATATAATACTTGGCACATTATAAACATTCCACAAATGATTACTTTTCCACCTGTGTCTGAGTAGTATATCTAGACTCTCTACACCAGATAGAAGGATTACGATCTTCATTTTTTAAAGTCTCGTTTATCTATCGATCTATTTATTTTTGGCTGTGCTGGGCCTTCGTTGCCACTTGGACTTTTCTCTAGTTGAAGCAAGCAGGGCCTCCTCTCTAGTTGTGGTATGCAGGCTTCTCATTGTAGTGGCTTCTCCTGTTGCATAGCATGAGCTCTCGGTACACAGACTTCAGTAGTTTCAGCAAGTGGGCTCAGCAGTAGTGGCCCATGGGCTTAGCTGCTCTTTAGCATGTGGGATCTTCCCAGGCCAGGGGTTGAACCCCTGTCTCCTTCATTGGCAGGAGGATTCTTTACCATTGAGCCACCAGGGAAGCCCTGATCTTCATTTTACAGATAAGAAACTAATCAAGTATTAGGTCAGCACAACACAGTTCAGTGGCCCGCCAGTTAGTGGGACCTTAGACTCCAATTCCTCCCACTGAGATCACATTTAATACAGGTTTCTTGGGCTCCTCAAAGTTAGTCACCTATGATGTGGCTGAACTGGGCCAGAGTTTGAAACAAGCAGAATATCCTTAATTTGTGCTGAGTTTCTTCGTGCATCTCATTCTTTTTTGAAGACATCTGGGGAACTTAGGAGGATGACGTGAGATGGCTGGTTGGGCAAGACTGAGGGGAAAGAGAGGACCTCAACTTATTTATTTATATAGTTCTCTGTAGTTGAAATCCTCAACTTTGAAAATAGATTTCAAAAGATTTTAAAAGAGCTTAAAACACATTGTTTTAAAACACATTGTCACATTGTTCCTTTCTCTCTGCTGTCTTAATAGATCGGAAGCCAATGACTTAGCCTTACGCCTGGCTCGGCAGTTCAGAGGCCACCAAGATGTGATCACTCTTGACCAGTAAGTCTTTTTTTTTTCATTTATTTATATTAGTTGGAAGCTAATTACTTTACAATATTGTAGTGGTTTTGGCCATACATTGATATGAGTCAGCCATGGATTTACATGTGTTCCCCATCCTAAAACCCTTCCCACCTCCCTCCCCATCCCATCCCTCTTCACCAGCCTAGTGCACCAGCCCTGAGCACTTGTCTCATTCATCAAACCAGGACTGGAGATCTGTTTCACGACTGATAATATACATGTTTCCAGTAAGTCTTAGACACGAAACTTCTCAGCAGGAAAGTCCTTCAGAGATGAAAACACATTGATCCTATCTACACTGATACCAGAAGTATATACAGAGGAGGCTGGATGGATGCCACAAGGATTTTTTTTTTATTATGTTTAAGATTTCAAGGCCAACTCAGGCCTAGAGAACACTTAATTCTTTCCAAGCACCTGGAGGCTCTTTTGGGTCCTGTGGTCATGGTCTCATGGCCTTTGTATGAATTAGAATTTACTTTCACACATTAACTATTTATTGAGCCACTGCAATGTGATTATCCACTGTAATTAATTTAAAAGACTGTGATTTAGAGCAAATTTTAATGACTACAAGCAGCCAAGTTAAAAAAAAAAAGGTGTTTTTTTTTGCCACATTGTACAGCATGCAGGATCTTAGTTCCCCCACCAGAAATCAAACCCAGACTCCCTTCATTGGGAGCAGAAGTCTTACCCATTGTACCACCAGAGAAATCCTAAATTCATTACAATTTGAAGAAGAAATTTGACAGCTTCTAGTTTAACTGAGATTTTTTAAAATTGTTTCTGCCTCCCCACCCCACTAATCTCACACACAGAAGGTTGAACTGAACATGCACCTCATTTCTTGCCCATCTAAAGGCTTGTCTTGTTTTATGTGTTGGTTGATGTATTCATTCTCTATTGTTACTGTAGCAAATTATCACAAACATACTGGTTTAAGCAACATGAATTTATTCTCTTATAGTTCTGGAGGTTGGATGTCCAAACTGGGCCTCACTGGGCTAAAGGTTAGGTGGCAATAGGGCTGCAGTCCTAGAGACCCTAGGGGAAAATGTGTTGCTTTGCCTCCAGCTTCTAGAGGCTGCCTGCCTTCCTTGGCTTTGGGTCCCTTCATTCACCCTCAGAGCCAGTCATGCTATCACTCCAGCCTCTGCTTCCGTCACATCCCTGTCTCTGACCACCATCCCCCTGCCACCTTCTTTCACTTATAAAGACTCTTGTAATAACATTGGACCCTCCAGGATTATCACTCCATTTCAGGATGCTTAATCACATTTGCAAGGTTCCCTCTGCCATGTAGCATATTCTCAGGTTCTGAGGATTAGAACGTGGGCATCTTTGGGGAGAGCAGGCATGAAGCTGCCTATCACAGAATGGACACTGTGACTGCCCTCTATGCCCAGTTACCACCACAGGCAGCACTGCAGTAAGCACCCTCAGACATGTGCCTTTGTGGACCTTTCTGAAGATCGCTTAGGAATAAGCACCCAGAAACAGGATTGCTAGGCCATAGGAGTGCTGTAAACATTATTGATTTGACTACATGCTGCCAGGTCGGTCTCCAGAGTGGTTGAAACTCTCTACCCAGTGCATGAAATGTTCCATTTCCCCATATCCTGGGCAAAACCTTAGAGTACTGTGCCTTGTTTTCCTTTAATAGTTGCTGGTCTAATAAGTATAAAATAATATCAATGTTGTTTTTATTTGCAATTTTCTAATTATGAGATTGAGTTTCTCTTCATATACTTATTATACATTTGTGACTGCTTTCTGAGAATTAGCTTCACTGGTGGCTCAGATGGTAAAGAATATGCCTGCAATGAGGGAGGCCCAGGTTCTATCCCTGGATTAGGAAGATCCCTTGGAGAAAGAAATGGCAACCCACTCCAATATTCTTGCCTGGAGAATCCCCTGGACAGAGGAGCCTGGCGGGCTACAGTCCATGGGGTTGCAAAGAGTCAGACACAACTAAGCGACTGACCCACTTTTTTTCTGAGAATTATCTGCTTATATTCTTTACCCAGTTTTTCTGTTGAGATTCCCATCCTTGTTTTTGTGCTTGCATGCATAGACTGGATGAGAGGATCTCAGCCTAGACTGTGTTTTAGAAATACCTGAGGAAATGTTCTTTTTATTTTTTTTTTTCCTTTAGCCATGGACTTTATTGTTTGAATATTAACAACTATTATTCTATACTCACATTTTAATTTCTTACAAAACTCTACATTCCACATTGCTAGGTATCTTCATTCTCCATTTTATGCCACATTTTCATGAGAAGGTATTTCCCTGAATCATAATCTGCCTGATTGTGGGTTTGTTGTTATGGTTGTTGTGGTGTAGTCGCTAAGTTGTAACCACATAGATCATAGATCCCCAGGCCCTTTAGTCCATGGGGTTCTCTAGGCAAGAATACTGCAGTGGGGAAATGTTCTTTTTAGAATGCCAATGCCCAGGCCCCATCCCAGACCAGTTAAAGAGAGTCTCTAGAGGCAGAGTCCAGGAAACCAAGTTTCCCAAGTGATTCTTATATGCAAACAGACCATTTTGGAAGTTAGCCTCTTTTATTTGAGACATTACAAATATTTTTTTCCAATCTAAAACCTGCCTCTTAACTTTGTCCATGGCATCCGTCTACCAAAAAAAATTTTGATTGAATCAAATAGTTTGCATTTTCATCCTGTGGTCTGGTTTTCTAAGTTTTGTTAAAATCTTTACCCTTATACATACCCTTCACCATCCCTCAGATCACAAAGATGCTCTTCATTTCGTTCTACCATGTCTGTAACTGCTCCTCACTCAATTAACTCCATCTAGAGGCCACTGTGTACCATTTACGAATGGCTGAGCTTGCTTCTGTCCCAGTCATTTTAACTTTGTTCTTATTCCAATACCATGCTAATTTCATTGCTATTGCTTTGTAGGATGTTTTAATCTATGGTAGAGGAAGTACTCCTTCTTTGCTTTATCTATTCATAGGCCTTTTATAATTTCCAGAGAGAGACAGAGCCTGTTATGTGCTGGTACAGAAAGAGAGATATCAGCATTTGATCTACTGTGTGTGTGCATGTGCTCAGACACTTAGTCATGGGGCTTCTCCAGACAAGAATACTGGAGTGGGTTCCCATTTCCTCCTCCAGGGGATCTTCCCAACCCAGGGATCAAACCCCTGTCTCTTACATCTCCCGCATTAACAGGCAGATTCTTTACCACTAGCACCACCTGGGAAGCCCTTACAATTTCCAGCCTTCTGATTATATATATCTGGGAAGCAAAAAACATTAAGGGGAATATCAAAGCCACCTGTATTTTAAGTGAAAGAAAGGAATTTCATAACCTTAGGAAGAACTAAGGTTGATCACCTCTCATCCTTAGTTCTTTTTGAAAAAACCTCCTATTCCTTACCAGCTTGCATTTGTTCAAGATGTGCTATTGGACATCCTTTAGAAACCATCCTAAACAGAAATACAGCCCATTTTATAATATAAATTTGTTTTTAAAATTTACTAGAATATAACTATAAAATACATTTAAAGAATACATACATCTCATATTTCTCATGAAACTTTAGAAAATAATATTTTACACTTAATCTAATTTAGCAGAGCTAATACAATCCAAAGAAATTAAGTTTTTTCTGGCTGAAAACTGCCTGCAAGGATGCATACTTGGCTTTGTATGTGTTTTATTGCCTGAATCAGGAAAGCTGGACAAATTAATGGCTGGTCCTACCATGAAAAATTGGATTCCATTTAGTTAAATCTGGCACCAGTGTTGAGATTCTCCCTGGATGATACACAATACTATTTTTCATATCCTGGAAGAGCATCCTTTTTTGAATGATGTTGGTTACCATTTCTTTTTGTTTCAGTGCTTACCATGGTCACCTATCATCTTTAATTGAGATCAGTCCATATAAATTTCAAAAGGGCAAAGATGTCAAGAAAGAATTTGTGCATGTGGTAAGTATCTTGGAATTCAGGAATCAGAATGTTACTACTGGAAGAGTGCCCAGTGATAATCCAGATCAATCTTTGCATTGAAATGAAACCATGAGAAAGGAAACTAAGATATAGAGCTGCTATATGACTTGCTAAAAGTCAAAGAGCTAGTTAATGACAAGATGTGTGTTAAAATCCATTGATGAGTACCATACAAATCAGTATAGTGGTAGTGACAGCTGTTATTCACAGCTCTTACTTTATTTTTCTTGCCCCTGGATCTTCAATTACTTTTTCTGTCACTGAAGCCGATTTGAAACTCAAAGTTGTATCAGGTGTGTATGACTGTCTTAAAATTACTCTATGCTTTATTAGGTAAATTTATTAAGTCAAATAAATGTTAAATGAAAGAAAATAAAGAAACCAAGTTGTTGAAGCAGTAAAACTCATTTGGCTTAATTAAGGATCAGTGGACATTTTTAAGAGAGTCATGAATACATTCTTTCAAAATTTTAAGATCTGAAATTACTGCTAACATACTCTGGCTTTCTGAATGATTACAATTTGCTATATAGTTGGTAAGTACTAGTTTATTTCCTTCTTCTTTTTAAAAAATATTTCTTGCCCTCACCAGACAGCACATGGGATCTTAGTTCCCCTACCAGAGATCGAACCCACACCTCCTGCTTTGGAAGCTCAGAGTCTTAAACACTGGACCACCAGGGAGGTCCCTATTTTTGACATAGAATAGTTAATACAGTTTCCATTCATTGAGATTTTCAAATAACATAATCACATTTGTTGTTTGAATTCACCCCTTATGTGATCAGGGATGCAATTTTGACTTCCAAGAAGCCTAGAAGTAAATCCAAGCTCCTGTTCACAATGTAAGGATTTCAAGTGTCACAGAATTCAGAAATGTTAAGGAAAAAGAGCAGAAGAACCTAGAGTCACATAAATCCATAGGTCACCTTTCTATTATGCTCTTGTGGGGAAATACCCTTTCTTAAAAGCTCATTTGTCCAGGACAAAAATCATGAGAAACTGTTAATCTCTTGATGTTTTCAGGCACCAGCTCCAGATACTTATAGAGGAAAATACAGAGAAGACCATGAAGACCCAGCCAGTGCTTATGCAGATGAAGTGAAGAAAATTATTGACGAAGCCCATAACAGCGGAAGGAAGGTTTGTATTTACAGCTTTGGAAACACGTTAACATCTTTCATAAAATAGATGGAAATCATCATGATACACTAGAGAGGTGGGAAAGGATTAGACAGCAAATCCTTTCTGTTCTTCTCCAGTTACATTTTCACTTAGTTCATATATCAAAAAATGCATTATTATAGTCATGCCTCTAAGACTATTTTTATTTATCCTGGAAATGTAATTACTGTACCTGTTTCAGAACTGGTGGTCTAGTTCTAACCTTCCCAGTGGGATGCAGACTCTGGCGCAAAGGGTTAGGAGGAGAGAATTAAGAAAGGTGATAGCCCATGGACAGAGCATTCCAAATGAGAGTAACATGAGGGGCTGACAGAAGGTGAAGGGAGGGGAAGAGGCAGGGTAGCCCCAGGGTCTCAGCATCAGTGCAGGCTCCTGGACCTTAGGAGCCTTGGCTTTCCCTAGAATTGGTTCAGCTTTCCTGGAGGTGCTGAGCCTGGGTAAGACCAGGCAGGAAAAGGCTCTTCCAGTCTGTTTCTGCACCTTTTTAAAAAAAATATTCATTGAATTTATTACAATATTTCTTCTGTTTCATGTTTTGATGTTTTGTTTTGTTTTGTTTGGCTGAAAAGCGTGTGGAATCTTAGCTCCCTCCCTGGGGATCGAACCCTCACCCCCTGTATTGGAAGTCCCAACCACTGGACTGCCAAGGACATCCTGGGTCTGCACTTCTAAAACAAACCAGAATCCTACTGAGTAGGAAGAGCTTTCATTTTCTCAGTCTTCACCCTACTGTCTTCCACCTTCAGCTTAATGTTAAATTCTCAACCGCTGCAGGGGTTACTTACATGGAGTTTTAATGTGATTTGACATATGTTTTGCCTTTAAATTGATTTATGGCATCAATATGGCAATTTTAAAAACTTCTTAATTGAGAGAAAAATGAAGCCTTGTGTTTTCCCGTTCGAGTATTTTTATCTTAATGACTTGGTTCCCTTGTTTGTTTTTAATTGAAGTATAGTTGATGGCTTAACTTCTTATCTCATACTATTTCCATGCTTTCTCTTAATTTAGTGATTTTTTTCTTCTCCTTTCTTAGCCTCTAGAACATTTCCTTTGCAGTTTTATTGTGAATTGCCTATGTTGGTTAAGTTGTAAGCCTGGTTCAGGGCAAGAACCAGAAAGAGAGCACAGTCACTAAGGTCTGTGACCACAAGTCACCTTCTCACCTCCCTGGTGCAAATTCCAGACTCAGGCAGTCCTAATTCAACAAGTTGAGTAAATAGGAATTACAGTGATATGTTTGGAACCTGCGTAATTTTGTAGAGGCTCATATCAAAGACTGATCAAGATATCAGTCTTACTCAGTTGATCCTAATGCAAATCCTGCATTTAAATTAATTATGGAGAGATGGAAAGCACCTTTTCCACCATTTCTAGTGGTAGTTTCATAAGAAACCTAAAATTTCAGAAATTAATGCTTCAGATCACTTGCTTTTCCAGCGTGAACATCTTTTCTTTTTAATCAAATAGCCAATTTGCCTCTTGCCAGGGGTCCATTCTCAACCATGTTTAAATCAGTCGCTCTATAAGAAGTCCTCTTTTTTTTAAGGGGTATGGGAGGGGGACCGAATGGACTTTGACCCCATCTTCTCTTGTATAGATTGCTGCCTTTATTGCTGAATCCATGCAGAGTTGTGGCGGACAAATAATTCCTCCAGCAGGCTACTTCCAGAAAGTGGCAGAGTATGTACTTGGGCATCTTTGGTCAGACTGAAGGAACCATGACAGTTCGGCAGGGTCATCTGGTTGTTGGCGAAGTATGGAAGTACTTCCCATTGATGTTTAGTAGCTGAGTCATGTCAGACTTTTTTTGCGACCAACTGTAGCCCACCAAGCTCCTCTATCCGTGGGATTTCCCAGACAAGAATCCTGGAGTGGGTTGTCATTTCCTTCTCGAGGGGATCTTCCCAACCCAGGGATTGAACTCAAGTCTCTTCCACTGGCAAGCAGATTCTTTACTGCTGAGCCACCAGGGACAAGCTGGTAAATAGCTACTTGGGAGTGCCTGCCGCCCAGGACTCCTGGAACTCCTCACCTTCCAAGACCCCAGCTAATAAAGGGTTTGCACACAGTCTAGCCGGGGGTCCTTGAGGGCTATGCCCCACTTTACCCACCTGGCATCCTCTCTGATTGATTGGTGTCCAAGGTTTACTGATAAGATTAACTCTGCTAATTACTTTTTGTTCACTTTTTTCTCTTGCCACTTAAAATACTGCAATAGAGCTTACTTTAAGCAGCACAAACCCAAACAACATAGACTATATCTTATCTGGAAATGACGTGATTATATTTCAAAGTCAATGACATCACATAGATGTCATTGGGGATTTGAGCACTGAAATGTTTTTAGCAAAGATTACAGACTTCAGGTTAACACCATTCTTTTGAAGTCCTCAATAATCCATATCTTGAAGGGAGGATATGGGGGCTTTCAGTGACCTGAAGGCATTATGCTGCTCTTTTGCTTTTCAGATATGTCCGTGGAGCAGGAGGTGTGTTTATAGCTGATGAAGTTCAAGTAGGCTTTGGCCGAGTTGGGAAACATTTCTGGAGTTTCCAAATGTTTGGTGAAGACTTCGTTCCAGACATAGTCACAATGGGAAAACCAATGGGCAATGGGCACCCAATGGCATGCGTGGTAACAACCGAAGAAATTGCAGAAGCCTTCAGTGCCTCTGGGATGGAGTATTTCAACACGGTAAATTTTGACCTATCACTTTAATGCTAAGAGGGAAAAATACTGTGTGTTCTTACATTTCTTTCCAATATAATAAAGAATAAATCTCACTGTTGCCAGCTAATGACCCCAGAACGAAAGCCAGACTTTGATCTAACCATATTTCATTCTGTTTGGCACAATCCTCGTATTTTTTCTTGTATCTTTCCCTTTCCTAAAGTGTTCCTATTGATTGTTTCAGTAATAGATGTCTGCCCTGGTAAACTCTAGAGGTTATGATATTTCATTAACAGATGATATGATCTTTTTTTGTTTTGTATCACATTTAAATTCCCAAAACACGTCTGAAGTGTATAGATGATTCAATACTATAAATATTATATGGCTGTCATAGGAGATACTAACTAAATTTCTATCTTTGGGAAATTTTATTTCCTTGATTTTGCCCCCAAAAGTTGTAAGATTCTCAAGTTTGGAAAGACTGTTATAGCTTGTGCAATATGTGTAATAGGACTTGTTGCAGCTAAAAGTCAGAATCAAAATCCAGGAACACAAATTACTTGGAGAAAATGTCATTTTTTGGCTTTTTTTTCCACACATATATTCAAGTGCTGCAATCCACATCCCTGTAACTAAACCACACTCTGAAATCCTTAATTCCCAACACAATATCTGTGTTTGGTTTGGATGAATTTATAGATTCCCCAGTAGTCCTTCATACCAGTTACGTAGCATATATATAATTTAGAATTGTATTCTCAATCCTAAATGAATAGAATCACACTATATTCTAAACTTAAAAAGCTAATATCACAAGGGAAAATTTTATTGAAATTATATCTTTACTTAAATATGAGCCAAATTTCTCATAGATGAAGCAACAGCATGAATTCAACTAGTCTGTTTTCTCATTTATTTTTTTTCTGCAGTATGGAGGAAATCCAGTATCTTCTGCTGTTGGTTTGGCCGTCCTCGATGTAATAAAAAATGAAGACCTTCAAGGAAATGCCACAAGAGTAGGGAATTATCTTACTGAGTTACTGAATAAGCAGAAGACTAAACATACTTTGATAGGAGATATCAGGTATATTTATCAAGGAATTGTAGTTATCCATATGTCCAAATGAATATTGGTTATATTTTATCTTATAAATTTAAAATAAATTACACAAAATCAAATCTAGAAAACACTGAAAAAACATTTTTCATTCAGAACCAGATGTGTAACTATTAACTTTTGGGTATATATCTTTCCTGACTTACACTTAAAAAAAAAAAATTAAGCCAGGATAATTTCAACAGCTAGAAGATGAAAAGAAGAAACTTAAAGTAACTCTATATGATCTATTTAAAAAAATTTAAATGACATCTAAGAAAATCACTATTTTTCATATATGTATTTATCATCATTGATGTCATATGAAACTAAATAGTATAAGGTTGTTTTTAAGGCTTTTTTTTTTTTGCAATTATGTGATGAAAAAAAAACTGGATTACAAAAACTAACTTCAGAAACTAAGGAGTCCTGTGGACCCTGGATTGGTATCATAGATTAATTAGAACTAGTTACAACTACCTCTAAAGAGACTCACATTCAGCCTCAAATCAAACTTAAGTTTGACGACTGTGTTAATTTTTTGTGACAATGTGGTGTTTCATAGAGTGTATGTCAGGTTTCCTTTCTGTCTCTCTCAGGGGCGTTGGCCTTTTTATTGGGATTGACTTAGTGAAGGACCATCAGCAAAGGACCCCCGCCACAGCAGAAGCTCAGCACGTCATCTACAGGTAAACCACCTCTCACTTGTTTGGTATCTCAGCTTAAAAGATGTCCACCCACTTGAATGTTTTTACTTTCTCTCTTCTCCCTAAATAAGGAAAGTTTAAGACTCATGCAATTACAAACGTGACTTCTTACATGCATATGCTAAATTGCTGTCTGTTCGTATCATTCTGAAATCATCTTAGTTATTGCTTGTATGCACTCACATGTATTTCCTGCACTAATTAGGATGAAAGAAAAGCGAGTGCTTCTCAGTGCCGACGGACCTCATAGAAACGTGCTTAAAATAAAACCACCTATGTGCTTCACTGAGGAAGATGCCAAGTTTATGGTGGAACAGCTTGATGGTATTCTAACAGGTCTGTCCACAGATCTTTAAATAAGATGCCCCCCACACCTCCATCCTGGTCATACATTATAGTGCATCTTGCTGTCCATGGTAGAAGTGAAGGAGGGTGGAAATGACTGTAAATAAATTTACATTATCATTTACTTTCACTTTTAAAAAATAATTGCACAAACCACAGATGCTGCAGCATAAGAGTCTGAAAATGCTTGAAATGTTGTTAATAAAACTTATAGGCTATAGGTGAACAGTTATTTGCTACACCCTGACTCATTTGACTTTGTGCTTCACTTATTGCAATTCCATTTTTGAGGATTTGTTCATCATTCAGAATTATAGCCTGTCATAGGAATTAATCTTTTGTTGACCTCTATTAAATAATGAGGTTGGGCTTCCCAGGTGGTGCTAGTGGTTAAGAATCCACCTGCCAATGTGGGAGACCCAAGAGATGCGGGTTCAATCCCTGGGTTGGGAAGATGCCCTGAATTAGGAAATGGCAATTACTCCAGTATTCTTGCCTGGAGAATCCCCATGGACAGAGGAGCCTGGTGGGCTACCGTCCATGGGATCACAAAGAGTTGGACAAGATTGAGTGACTGAGCATACACATTAAATAATTAGGTTAATTTACTTTTCATAAATTGAGATTAGCTAAGTAAGGGAACAGTGTAAAGCCATACTGAAAAACATGAAGTACTGTCAAATGTTGGAGCTTTTAGTTATATTTTTAAGATTTTACTTCTCTGCTCCCTCTCAGCCTCTTGGGGTTGGGATAAGGCTGATAAGCCAGGACAGTGCAGTATACAAAATAAATCATTAATATTGGAAAGTTGAGAGTCAGCCCCAAGTTATTTGTAATACGGTCACTGTCTTTGGACTAAGAGATGCCCAAACCTGGCCAGCAGTCCTCACATACCTGTTTCCTCTGGTCCCTCGAAGGCCAGGTGGAACAGAGTACAGGTTGGGACAAATGTCACTATTGCTTAAAATTCAGCTCAGAGCCTCAACATTTTTAGCTGTGGGGCTGGACAATCCTTTTAACAACGTGAATGAGGCAGAGCTAATGCAGGCCGAGTGCCACGCGTAATGGTGAAATGCTGCAAAAAAAGTTGAAGAGGAGCTGTTTTAAAACACATGGACCTCTGTATTTTTCTCTAGTAAGAGTATCCCTATAGTTACCAAAATGGACTTTTTGTTTTTCTTAAGGATTTTTTTAATGTTTTATGTTTATGTTTTCTTTATGTTTTATGTTTTTTTTTCCCATCTTATCTACTGTATCTTCCTTGATGAAGGTTTAGAAGAAGCCATTGGAGCTGAAACTGAGCCTGTGATCTCTAAGAATACTCCTATCAAAACCAAGGTAATAGTCACTTGCTTAATATTTAAGGGAAAAGTTTAAAATTGGAGAAATTTAAGAAAAAGGAATGTGAATGTTTTAAAATCATACAATGACCTTTAGAATAAACCCACCTTTGCTAGAGTTGGCTTACTGCTGCAATTCTGAGTGCACAATTAAATTCCAAGGCAAGTGTCATTCCACTTGACATCTATAAAAGCAAAGAACCATTTTTACAGGGTCATTCCCATGCTGAAAATACTAATAACCCTCAGGCTTGCAGAGAGGGCCTTCAAAATATATAGAGAGAGGATAGCAAATGTCCTGAGCTCCTTCCTGTTTTTCTGAGTGAGGTTTGACACTGCTTTGAAGTCCCACATCCCACTTCTTAATCAACAAAAGCTTTGGCAGTGTGACTTCAAAACGCCAGAGTTCCATCCTCGGGTGAATTAAAGTAGAAGCTTCGAATGGCAGCAGGGCCTGGGAACCATCTGGCGCTGAGTGGCCTAGTTTCTGCATTTGATGTGCTGCCAGCAGCGGGCTTCCCCATTCTCTCCCCAAGCTCCCCAGGCTGCAAGAAAGGGCTCCCCGGGTCGGGAAGCAGAAAGACAAGAACTTCGGAGGCTCTGTTGCATAATTTGTTATTTGTTTATGACCTTGACGCATAAAGGAACTCTCGGTACACACCCAGTGCAGTCAGAAAAGTCCTTTCCGTGAGTGAAAACCACGACGCCCTTTGAATGAGAGCCAGTGACTGGCTAACAGGGTGCTTCTGTCTCTTGGTGCAACACAAACCGATGCTAGGCATCAGTCCCTCTCTGCTGTGTGAGAGTCGCATAGAGAGTCTGGGGCAGAATCACGGCTGTCTGGGCCGAGCAAGTATTGGAAAGCGCTCAGATCCTCAGTCGTGTCCAACTCTTTGCGACCCCATGGACTGCAGTCCGCCAGGCTCCTCTGTCCGTCGAGTTCTTCTGGCAAGAACACTGTAGTGGATTGCCATGGCCTCCTCCAGGGGATCTTACCAACCCAGAAATTGAACCAGTGTCTCTTTGTCTCCTTTACCACTAGCGCCACCTGGGAAGCATATAAGCATTGAAAAGAAGCTTATTGAAAAGGGACTCAAAATAAAAAGAGTTCCCCCACCAGAAATGCCTCTGTGGAGTTAGCAAAGTTAGCACAGCTTTCTGAGTTTGGCTTGGACTCCCAAGTTTTAGGTTGCCATCACATCTCCGGTGTCTATGGAAGGTAGTCATCAGGGATGAGGAAGAGCAGCTCCCTAACACAGCATTCCTGTGTTGTTGGGCTGTGTTTTCGTGTTCCACATGCCGTGTTCCTATTGACTTAGCCCTGCGGAGGCTGGAGGCTGGAGGCTGGGTGCGTTAGCACTGGGCTGCCCTCGAGTTTGTGCGCTTGTCTTACAGATGCCCGAGGAAGCACGGTCAGAATTGCTCAGAGACAGCAGCCTGGACCCCAGAGAAAATCCCAGCCGAAAGAGAAATGGATTGTGCACAGATTCACTGCTCAGCAAGAGGTTCAGGACATGAGAGATGAGCATTTTACAAGATAAATGTCCGGAGTTATAGAGAATGAATGCAGGTGTCCCTTCTGTTAAAGCTCTGTTGTACCTTCTGAAAGAAGTGTTCGCATTTACTCAGAGGTATAAATAAAGTTGATGAGTCATAAGATTAATCCAAATGATAATCAAACTGTGTCAAGACTATTAGTTCAGCATTTAGCCTATTAATTCCTTACTTGAGATTTCTGCAAGTACTTTGTTTATGCTACTCAGTTTAAGCTTCAAATGAAATATTTATGAAGTTGACAGTTTTACTTCTCATATTTTAATCTTTGACATGACAGAGGGAAGTACAGTAGGTTCCTGAACTTTGGAGACTTAGTCCCTTAAAATATTGAATTCTTTAGTGATTTAATTTATAAATATTTATGGCTATAATAAAAGATGACATGAAAAAAAGTGTTGACTAGAGAAGTATGTGGTGTTCTTTCTCGGAGAATCGTAGCATTGGTGGTAAAAGCAAAGCCATTTGGGGAAAAATCACATAGCAACTGTGAAGAAGGGAATGAGTAATCTGGACTCCTGTTGGGGAACGAGGTTAATTGTGATCCTCTGGGGATGAGGGCACAGGTGCAGAGGCCAGACAAGAAGTAGGCCCAGAAACACTCCTAAGCATGGAGCTGGAGCAGTATCCAAAGCACCACATTCACCTCGGCTGTGGCTATTCAGACTGTCATCTTGGCAAGTCACTTACCTGCTAGATGAGAAATTAACTTTTCAAGCAATCCTCTTCTTCTCATCCGTCTTATCACCTATGCACACACCCTGACACACAGAGATAACTTCAAGAATCTCTTCCTTAAATGTGCAGGTGCCATGAGACTTGGAGGCTTGTGTGAGTACTGACCTGGAAGAAATTTGACTTTTAGCCTTGACTTCTCATTATTTCTCAATTGCCCTCCTAACAGTTACTAAGCTTTGTGTGTTGGGTTTTCTGGGGGGAAGTGTTTTTCGTTTTGGGGACCTCATGTACTGTGCCTCATGGCTTGCGGGATCTTAATTGCCCACCCAGGAATTGAACTTGGGCCCTGGTAGCGTGGTAGTGAAAACACAGCGTACTAACCACTGGACCACCAGAGAATTCCCTGTGCATTGGTTTTTGTTGGTTTTTGTTGTATAAAGATGAGTTAAATAATTTTGCTATGGCCGTTTCATGATAGCTGAGAAAGATGTTGGGGGGAAAATTAAATGCAAAAAGCTTCCTTTATGAGTTCACCATAATAAAATGCTGTGAAAATGCAAGGTCTTGTTGTTAAAATAGTTTTGTCTCCTAAATGTATAGTTGACTATGGGTCTGAGCTGGATTGCCCTGAGATTGATCCCCAGGTGGAGAGGAGAGAGCATGAAGGTCTCTGTGGTTTGCTTCTACAAAACCGAGGTTAATTCCAAGACAGTGAGACCTTTTACAGCACAGGTCAGCACTCCTGGGGGCACTCCTTGTGTGAGAAAGCGCTTGTCTCCTTGAAATGAACCGTTCCCGTCTCCGCCACCGTGGCCACCCTGCCCACATGCTGCTGTGCCTGTTGGGGGGGGTGGTGGCTAAAGTCACAGCGGCTGCTGCCAGCCGGCCAAATCGTCCTGTCTCCTTGGTGGCTTAGTGCCTTCTTCTGTTAGTGGATGCTTTGTGGTGGACGTGAACATGTGATACAGATCTTAACCTGTGCTATGTATTCCATATAGTCATTCATATGCCTCTTCCCAACACCTCCTTTTGCCACAAACTTTCTCTTTCAGGCTCCTGACCAGCCATGCACCCACTCCCCACTGCTCAGAATTTCATATATATGCTCGCTTTTCTTTCTCCACACACCATGGAAGACCAGGTGCGCCTTTCAAAGGTCTAGCACTGGGAAGATTTTCCCTTGCCACTGCTTTTCAAGGCCAGCACTGAGTGTGCCTGTCACGGGACCATCATGTGCTTTGCTGAAGTGATAGACCCCTGATTCTTCATAGGGTTTATCTCCCACCATCTTGAGCAAACGTGTCTTACTGAGGCTTCCAGCAGATCAGCTGCCTCTCTTTCTACAGGATGATCCCTTCTTACTAACTGCTCATCAGAGAGTCCAGTCCTATCTTTAAGGAACTACTTTTACTATGTATTTTTTTAATTAGTTAATTTTTTTAACTGAAGGATAACTATGTATTTTCTTAAAGCCACTTTATATTATCAGTTGGATTTCATTGTTAATTTCCTTCACATCAATAGCCATTTGTTTTGTTATATTATTGTTATTATATTTAAATTTTTTCTATACATTTTCCCCAAGTTTTTACTTTGAAAAATTTTAAACTTTCAGGGAAGTTTCATATGTTTCATGTAGCCTTCACTTGGATCCATCAGCTGTTCATATTTTGCTCCATCGACTTTCCTATCTGTGTACCTATGCATGTACTTTTTAATCCATTTGGGCCGTTGGGAATTTAATTGCTGGCATCAAGGCAATTATCCTGAATATTTCACTTTATCTTTCCCCCAAACAAGGGCATTCTCCTACAAATCAATTACTACATTAGGGGCATTTAATATTAGTTTATTTAATATATTAATATTATTAATATATTTAATATATATAATTGATATTCACATATTTAATTATGTCAATAATGTCCTTTGTAGCTTTTTTTTTTTTAATTCAGAATTCTTTTTGGCTGAGATGTGCAGCACGCAAGATGTGGGATCTTAGTTCCCCAACCAGGGATCAAATCCCCTCCGCCTGTGGTGGAAGCACAGAGTCTTCACTACTAGACCATCAGAGAAGTCCCCCAAATTCAGAATTCTATCAAAGATTCTTCATAGCATTTAGTTATCACTTCTGTTTAGTCTCTTTTCACCTAGAATACTTCAACCAGTTAGACATTTCGCAGAATGTCTCTCAGTTTGAATTTATATAATATTCCTCACGATTAAACTCAGGTTAAACATTTTTAGCCAAAAAAAAAAAATTACATAGGTGATATATATAGATTAATTTTCAAATGTGAAACTAAACTGAAATTAACCCAATTTGGTCATAATCCATTATTTTATATATAGAGAGAGATTACATATAGAATAATCTATTCTATATATATAGTGTGTGTGTGTGTATATGCAAAAATCCTAAACAAAATTCTAGCAGACTAAACCCATACTCGTTAAGAGCCAATATGCAGGACTCCCCTGGTGGCTCAGTTGTAAAGAATTTGTGAGCCAATGCAGGAGACATTGGGTTCGATCCCTAGTCAGGAAAGATCCCACATGCGGTGGACCAACAGAGTCCATGTGCCACAACTGTTGAGCCTGTGCTCTGGACCCTGGGAACTGCAACTCTGAGCCCGTGCTCTGCAATTACTGCAGCCTGTGTGCCCTAGAGCCCTCCTCTGCAACAAGAGAAGCCGCTGCAAGGAAGAGCAGCCCCTGCCCGCCACAACTAGAGGAAACTTCGAGCAGCAGTGAAGACTCAGCACAGCCAAAAATAAATATACTAAAATACATAGAAAAACACATATGCAACATTGCCTGGGGTTTTTATCCTCTTCCTGATCAACACAAAGGGCTTCCCCCGTGGCTCAGTGGTAAAGAATCCACCTGCAAAGCAGGAGACACAGGCTCCGTCCCTGGGTCAGGAAGATCCCCTGGAGGAGGAAATGGTAACTCTCTCCAGTATTCTTGCCTGGAAAATCCCACGGATAGGGGAACCTGGCAGGCTACAGTCAATGCGGTTGCAAAGAGTTGAATCCAACTGAATGAAGCAACTGAGCTCACATGCACAATCAATAAAAAGACTTTAGAATATTTTTATTTCATTTATCTCCCTCTGATGTTACTATTTTGTATTTTAAATCTGTAATTTTAAGCATATATATATATATAGTTTAATATGTATGCTTTTTATTGTTATCCATTTCTTCGTTCCATTTGGAATTATTTTCCCTATTTTCTTGAAGAATACCCCTTTTAGTATTTCCTTTAGAGTGGGTCCTCGGTTCGGCTTCCTAGTTTGACTGATGAATAAACTGAAGGCCACAGAGGTTGAGTGGCTGGATGAGGTGCCCACATCTTTGAAGCTGGGACTGCCACCCAGACCACTGACGCCTAGGCCAGTGATTTTTCCTCCACATCATTTTTAAATGTTGGGATCAGAGGCATAAAAGAGTAAACAATGCCATAGATGGTTAAATCTATTAATTAAATGTTCTAAAACCAGTTATTTTTATGAATTGGCTTTGAACTATTAATTTTAGCGAGCAAAAGCAAAACAGTTTATCAGCCAGTAACAGACACCAAAATGTTAATTAGGAAAACCAATTTAAGTGACGCAGTAACAAATACACCAATACTTCTACTAGTTAATACTCACCTAAACATAATGAAACATGGGCCACCAAATGCTGACTTCTACATCCTTACTATTTTATATACCAATAGCAACATCATCTCTGAACTGAAATAGTTACAACAAGGAAAGTAAAACTCCAGGGTGCATTTTCCTCCCCTAGGAAGAAGAAAATTGCAACAATAACATACAATTTGAAGTGGAAATGGGGCTGTAGAAGCAGAAAGTACAGCTTTAGAAAGCAAAAAAGACTTGCAGAGAGCCACAGGACCCTAACACTTGTTCCTTCAGAAGACCCTGCGGACTCCCTGATTTTAACTGGCCCCTGATGCATCACACATAGCTTATGTTCTTGGTGGGATACCGACTTAAAAAGGAGAAACGAAGACAGAGAACACTAATCACTCATTCCTTTCATATATTCAATTATTTGCTTTTATTCTTCACTATTCCAAAAATATTGCTCTGTGATATTCCTGAGATTCTTAACCTATGATGTCTATCTTGGGATTTCCAATTTGTTGCATTTTTTTTTTTTTCTCACACCATGCAGCTTGTGAAATCTTAGTTCCCAACCAGGGACTGAACCCCAGCCCATGGCAGTGAAAACTCTGAGTCTTAATCACTGAACTGCAATGAGAGTCCTTGAACT